AAATTAAATCGGGCATGGTGGCACATGCCTATAATAATCTCAGCATTTGGGAGCCTGAGGCAGGCACTATGAGTTCAAGGCCAGCCTGAATTACACAGTGTGACTACTACTTCAAAAAAACAAGACAAAAGTGACTGAACAAACATATTTAAAACACCACTGCTGTACTTTTAAAAATAAATAATCATAGCCGGGTGTGGTGGCACATGTAATCCCAGGAGGCTGAGGCAGGAAGATCACTGAGAGTTCAAGGCCAGCCTGGGCTATAAAGCCAGGCTCTGCCTCAAAAAACCAAATAAGTAAACAAACCAATAAATAAATACATAAATAAATAATCATATAATAAAATTGTCTTATAGAAAAGGAAAATATATTTATTATGAGGGCCTTGTAAATGACGAGGAAGACAGTTTTAATAAACTACACACACAAGCTTAGAATGCTACTTATGGAAGTATATATGAAAACCATCAGTGATGGTTACTTCCGCAAACTGGAAACATGGTATTCCACTTGAAAAACACGTTTCACTGTGTACTTTTTTATACTAATTGAATATCTTTTAAAAACCTATTTAAATATTTAGCAACAGAATACTAATATTAAATGATTTAAATTAATAAAGCCTTATTTGGTTTTTATGAGAAAAATATTCAATAATAGGTAAATGTGGGGCTGGGGATTTAGCTCAGTGGTGCCACTGCCGGCCTTGCAAGTGCAAGGTCCTGAGTTCGATTCCCAGTACCTCACAAAAAAAATAAATGCACAAAGGTTGATTTGTAAAGGAAAACACTGAAAGAATTTTAATGCAAAGCAATAGGTAAATGGGTATTACCAACTTAAAAGAATATTTATAGTTACTCATTAAATAAAAAATAGAAATATGTAAGGACAAAATGAAACTTTACATAGAACATGCAAAAAAAACTATGAATACTAGCAAATGAGCAACAGAATTAGCTGCTATATTGAGATAATATTATTACAATATTTTTTGTGTTGTAAATTACTGACTAGAACAAGCTTTCAATCTGTCTTGTGGGTGTGGTACATGGATCAAACCAAGGGCCTCACGCATGGTAGACAAGTGCTCTGTCACTGAGCTACATCCCAGCTCCTGGTCAATGAATTTTCTAAAGAAGGGGCTCCGGGTTTAGCTCAGTGGCACCGCACCTGCCTTGCAAGTGCAACGTCCTGAGTTTGATCCCTGGTACCAAAAAATAAAAAATCTAAAGAAGGCATTTATGTAACAACTATACAAGAAGAATAAATAGAAAGGTTTCCAAGGAATGATCTAAAAGAAATAAAGAAGAAAATGTATAAATAAAGTGAAACACAGATATCCACAGATGAAGATGCAGGGAGAAAGTAAAAGCAATTAGCATACAATGGAGATACAAATGCATAGGGGGTGGGAATTGGAGGTACATTTTCATAAAATAACACCTATCTTGTGCCATATTCAAGCAATGCTAATAAGCTTATGAAGTCATGCTGAATTTCCTCAATTTTGATCATATTAGGCATATAAAGATTTTATATTTTTAAAACAGAAACACTAAATTTGCTGGAAGATAAGTTAGGTAGAACTCTTGAAGACATATGCATAGGAAAAGACTTTATGAACAAAACCTCAGTAGCACGGGAACTAGCACAAAGAATCAACAACTGGGATCTCATCTTATTAAAATCTTCTGCATTGAAAGAGAAACCACCAACAGAGCTAACAGACAACCTACAATGTGGGAAAAAAATTTTAGCAGCTGTACCTCAGACAAAGGACTACTATCTAGAACATATAAAGAACTGAAAAACATCAGCTCCTCCAAATTCAAAGACCCAATTCAAAAATGGGCATCTGAAATGAACAGACATTACTCAGGCAAAGAGGTAAAAGCAGCAAATAAACATATGAAAAAATGTTCAACATCACTGGTCATTCAAGAGATGCAGATGAAAACAACACTGAGACCCCACAAATTCAAAGTCCCAATTCAAAAATGGGCATCTGAAATGAACAGACATTTCTCAGACAAAGAAGTAAAAGCCACAAATAAACATATGAAAAAATGTTCAACATCACTGG